GCCTGATGGTTGCTTCTGGCCTGTGCGCAACTCCAACTCCAAGTGGGGTGGGTGATGGTCATCTGCGCATGACCATACCTATGTTATCATCACCTATGATTAAGGATTCCCGAGGGAATCCGAAACGTCCTGTGTTATCATCACCTATGATTAAGGATTCCCGAGGGAATCCGAAACGTCAGGAAAGTTTGTTCCAGTGATCGCATCTTCTTCTTCTGAACTGCTGCCTGGAACTCGTATCATTACCTATGATTAAGGATTCCCGAGGGAATCCGAAACGTCAGGCAAATAAAACTGCTTATGACTAAGGATTCCCGACGGAATCCGAAACGTCAGGAAAATAAAGTCCTTCTCCAGTGATCGCTTCTTCTTCTTCTTCTTCTTCTTCTTCTTCTGAATTGCTTCCTGGAACGTAAGGATTCCCGACGGAATCCGAAACGTCAGGACAATAAAACTCTTGTTCCAGGGATCGCATTTTCTTCCTCTGAACAATTAGTACTGTTTATACTTTTTTTATGTAACTAATTTTCCTAATGCTATTCATTACTATTTCTAAGTTTTCGTACATGTGTAAAGGCCAGTTTGCGAATGGTTATCAATCTTTTACAAACTTCGGCAATTTACACGACGAATGTGTCGTACTGTACTTACTTGTCCCTTTTCTCTCCTCCTCCCTCTGCATCATTTCCCGAACCGAGAGAAGGTATTGTTTGGGGGGTTGGGCCACCTTTCATCGTCTGTCCTACCGTTCCCATGAGAGCAGCCGTCATCAGGTAACACCACCACTTTGCTCTACCGTTTAGAGAAACGGCTTCTTGAGGGCTTACGGGATGGTTTGGCGGTAGGGGCACGAAGTGTTCCACGTGCTTCGTTGCAGCCTCCTGGTTAAACTCCTGCGTGGTTGGCGTTGATTGGCCCTGCGGCTTAGTCGTCAAATCAGTAGACAGGAGATCCGAAGTTGTCGTCGTCGTCTTGGTGCCCGCTTTGGGCATCGTTGACTGCAGCAATCCACTTATGGAGCACATTGATCGTGCTCCGTCGTTCTGCTCGGCATTA